TCACGATCACATTTAGAGAGTTAAGATTTGGAAAGTCTAAGAAAGTTAATATTATACAGTAATAGCTTAATGAATCAATTCCCTTGTAGTAAAATAGTTAGTAAATAGCTAAATTATGTAGTAACATGGTGATCTTAGTATTAAGGATTTAAGGATCACATAAAAATCTAAAAATAACTTGTTGACAAGTGTTTTGCAATAGGTACAGTTTAGCCCTAGTATAAAATTCTAGGGTTTAATGTACTATTGTTTTATTTGTACAAAAATTAATAATTAATAAACACAGTGATTGCAATCTGATTAGAGGCAAAAAAAATAATAATAATAATTTATTTTGGTTTTTTTTATTTTATAAATGAGTATTAAATATAAGATTTTTATTAAACTTTTATTTATTATTATTATATTGACAATTTTTAATATATAAAATAATTAAATTAATTAAAAAAAAACTTTTTTCCATTCCTCTTAATTTTTTAAAAAACTTCTTTTTTAAAAAATTTTAACAAGACAAGAAAATAAGAGCTTGTTAAGTTATCTTCAAAGAAACTTTGTTTTTTTTTGTCTCTAATCAGACTACAAGATTTGCATTTATTCATCCAATTTTGGAAAACAGTAGTACAATATATATAATACTATACTAAAGCTAAACTATCACATAATTTGCAGAACACCTGTCAATAAATTTAGATTTGTATGTGATCCTTGAATCCTTAATACCAAGACCACTGTGTTGCCTACATGATTTAGCTATTTACTAACTATTTTACTATAAGGAAGTAGGCTCATTAAGCTATTACTGTATGGTATTAACTATCTTAGACTTTCTAAATATAAACTCTCTAGATGTGATCATTGGAAATAAAGAAGCTGCTTACTTCCAAGACTAGACATCAAAGACTATGTCTTGAAAGATCTTGGCTAGCCTACATTCAGACTGTCACCCCGAATGACTCTATAGTTTTAAGAGGTAAAAAAATTTTTATTTTTTATGAAAAAAAGAGAGAATAAGAAAGTGTAGTTGAAGAGTTTGTTCTGATAAATAAAAACCTTCCAATGTCAACTTCAGTCCATCAGGATAAATCCTTTATTATCACCTGCAGCTGGGCGAACTATTTAATTTCTGTTATTCCATTGTTGACCAAGAACATTTAAGGATACTTCCAGGAAAGTATTTCTTGAAACTTTACACTCGAAGACTTCTAATCTTGAGGAGGGTTGATGTTTTAATTGGCGATTTCTCTTCTAGCCAAATCTCCAAGAATTTATAGCTTCATTCAACCAGTGAATAGTTTCAAGACTCCTTTCTTTAACCATTTTTAGGATAATTAACAATAGAGAAAGCTTGTTACTGGATTGGAATGTAACTTCTTTTGATCTTGAAGAGAAAAAAAACCAGTTCAAGAGGGAGGAGCATATAACACATCTTGACAAAACAAATATCTCGTCACCTTACTCTTTTCACTGTGTCCAATGGCATTATCAGGTTTATTGTTATATGAGATGGGACACATGGGAGTTACATGTCTTGTTTACATTTCTTGCTATATATAGATCAACCAGTTCAAATTTCTAGCCAATCATTATTCAAGAGTTTCAGTGTAACCAAAAATTAAAAGTCAAACTGAAGTAGGCAAAATTTTTCAGAAAAACCAGAAAAAAGTATATATGCTTGAAAGGATAGGAGAGAGACTTGAAAAAGATGAGAGAAGAGTTTCAAAAGCCTATGTCAATCTTTTTTGGAGTCTTGAATCTCTGGAAGAAAAGAGGAGAGTATTTTTTCTACAAGTTCTTTTTCCTAACAAAGTGTTTTTGCCTTTGACTTTGTAGATAGGTTTTTCTTATATTTACTTGCTGAAATACAGAAAGTTTATATTAAAGAAAGAAACAAACAAAAGGTGAGAGACTATAGTCTCTAGATATTGATATTGTTAAGGAAAGTATATAGATTATATTACAAAGAAATATAAAATTTCTTTGGAATATTTGTTTTTGTGTTAACAAGAGAATCTCAAAGAAACTTTTTCTCTTTTTTTATCACTATCAAAAATAAAGACTCTTTTCTAGAGAAGACTTCTGGTTATAGATTGGTTTTTCTTTTTTAAGATGAAAAGTTATTTCTATCAAAACTAACACAATAAATTTATCACATTTTAAGTCCTATTACATATGAGTCAACTTTAAAAGTTTGATTAAAAAAACTCAAGCTGTATAAGAATAAAACTCTTGATTGGATTTATTAAGACTTGAGTACTTTAATAATAAAGATTGCATAGAAAAAAACCTTTGATTTAACTTCTTTTTTCACTTATATATGTAGATATAGAAAAATAAAAATCAGTTTATCACTCCAAAAGATTGACAAATACTTTTCCACTAATCACATCTCATAAAAATTGTATCATCCATTATCAATATCACAATAATAATAATAACAACAATAATAATAAATAACAATAATAATAACAATTATAACAATCCATCACATGTTAATAATTAATTTATAATTTTGAAGAGATCAATGATAAGAATACTAACGTATAGTACTTTTATAGTTTTCAAATAGAACACTATATATAGAAGTTGCATCCTGCTTGATATTTTTGTTCCTAGATTTGGCAGCCTAAACTAATCAAATCCTTTGAAGTGTTTATTAAAAGATTTTAAAGTTGCATCTCACTTGGCCATATGGCTTCTAGATTTAATAGTTTGTATCAACTAAATATTATAATTTTGAAGCATTTATTAGAAAGTATTTATTCATATTTAAATCCCTTCTGAACTTATAGCTGCATAAGCCAAAGTTGTAATATAAAAAGTTATTTATTAATTATTAATATATATTAAATCAAATTGTTTTTTTTTTCTATTAATATTTTTGAATAAAGATCTTGGCTATTCAGTGCCATCTTGAATATATAATAGTTTTAATATTTGTTTTTTTTAATATTTAGATAGTTATAAATAGTAGGTAGGCTAATATTAAACTCATAGATTAATTGATTATATGAGAGATATTGTTACTTTCTTTTTATAATAATTTTTTAATTTTACAATTTAGTAAAATATTATTGTTTTCTTACTTTAAAAAATAATAATAATAAATTAATTAATTATAGTTTATTAATATATGCAAACTTTTGAAAATTCAAGTAAAAAAAAAAGAAAGTAAACAATAGATATTATTTTATTAAATTAATTACAAAAAATATATATAATATTATTTTAAAATTATATTAATTATTAAATAATTATTTAAAAAAAAATAATTTCAGAAATTCAACTGGTAACAAAAATATATACAGTATATTTAATTAAAGAAATTCTTATATACAAAAGTTAAAAAGCCTAATGCTATTTTATAAATGTCTATCCAATAATAGAATTGGAGAATTTGTAAAAAAAGTAATTATAAACCAGAAGAATAATATGTTCATTGAAATTTCAGTATATGCTTCTTATAGAAATTGTGATAAATTAATTGTTTCTATTTATAATACATGTAATAAACATATAGGCAAGTATCAAAGTAAAAAGAATTATCACAGAAAAAAGCAGGTTGAATTATATGCAAAAATTGTTATACTTGAGAATTATATATCTGACTTATCAAATCTAAACTTGATGTATAATAATATACCTGAAATATATTGATTATTTTATCCAAGATCTCTTATTTTGGAAAAATGACACTTATGTCTAAGTAATGCTATATCTTCTTTGATGCCTCCTATATTTTTGATAATTTTATTATGTAATGTTATAGATTCCAAGACTTTCTTTTGGAATAATGACCTTTTATGCCTAATCAACTCATGTCTTGTTTGCATCCATTTTCTGATAGAACTGTAATAACCACGACCTATTCAATTTTGGATATAGATATATTGACCCGAGATAATTAATTTTGATTTGAAAAAATAAGTAGATTAATGTATAATTACAATCTACTTATCGATATATATTATTTACATATCTATAATGGCAACTGTCTGAAAAACCAGAAAACTCAAAACTAATGGCTTTACCTCTATTTTGGATCAGATTTCAATAAAATATAATCTATTGGTCAAATCAAATCTGCTTCAATTACGTGCTTATGCTGATGAGCTTGATATATGCTACCAGATTGGAAGGCTCATAAAGATGTGAAAAAAGCTCTTCACCAGTGCCTATTCAAAGACAAAAGGGGGAAAGACTTACTATAAAGGAAAGAGCTCAATATTGCAAAAACTGAAGATGTGTGGGATATTTGGGATATTTGGTTATATGATTTAAACTTAGCTTTTCCATAAAATAATACAGATGAGGCGATTGTGGCGGCTAGTTTCTGTCTATCGCAATTTTGTAAAGAATTAGCAGAAGCTGGAGTTGATCCTGAGCAAATTAATACATATGCCAAATTACCAAATGTTACTCAAGCTTCTAACGAAATTCAGAAGAGAAAACTTGAACAGGGGTTAATCAGTCGACCTAAAACACCTAAACTCTTCTCCTTAGAGGAAGGGCTTAAAAGACTTCAGAATATCCATACCTCTGAGACCCCATTCTATAAGATCTTGCAGATGTGATCATAATGTTAAGCATGAGACCCACTGAAGCAACTACTCTTCGCATTATCCATTATGAGCCTGACGAATCAAATCCACCGGAATGGTATAATCCCGATTACTCTTGGTATTGTACTGGGTATATTAAAAATAAAGGAGAAGCAAAAAACAATTCTGAACCTCGACTGTTTCTATCCATGAAAACGAATCCAGAACATGCAAGAGAATTGCTTACCTGGATTCAAAATGCAATAGCGATTGGAAAGTTGCGTGATCCTGTCTATAGTATTAATGGAAAACGTACAGTAGTACAGGTGTATTTAGTAAATTTTTAAAGCCATATGACATTACAGCTAAAATATTAAGAAAAATCGGAGGTAACATGCTTCTAGAGTTCATGGTGGTCAAAATTCAACTTCACAACATCTCGCTTTCCTCAGCAGGATTGCAATGAGGCATAAGATGGATCGTCATGATTCTGGAATGTATTATGACGAGGGTGATACTTCCGAGTCTGATCTTGACTCAGATATAGAGCCTGAACCCGAAACTCAAGCTTTTGTAACTAAACCAATTGATCAAATACTTCTAAATCTGAAATTGAGGATATCTAGCCCGGTAGGGCGCCACTAATGTGGCATGACTTATATAGGAATATCTAGATTTGTGATATAATTAGTTACTAATCGTCAGATGCGATATGTTTACTAACCATGCTTTTTTGCTTTCACTACATGTATATACGCCCCATCTTTATCATCATTAGACCATTCATAACCAGACCCAGATAAAAACAAAGATTCAGATGAGGACTCAGATGCTGTAGCGTTAGCGGAGCAAGTACCAGGGGTACAAAAAATTAACTTTTTCTTTTAGCCTTACATGGTGTAGTATTTCTTCGAGAAATATCGGGGTTTACTATCGCGTTTATAATATCTTGCTGAATCTCGGGTAATCGGTGAAGAGAGATCCAGATTTTTTTACCCGATACTTGCTTAACAATGTCAGATACCACTTTATCGGTAATATTGGGTAAACTTTTATCTTTTTCGAAACCCAATTTTTTCGCAACTTCATAAGTGTTAATTGGACATTCTGAACCTGAATCAATTACACTCTGTTGCTTTAACATTGCTTCAAATTTTTTACAGACGCTTTCTATTGTCTCAGGATTATCAGCTTCGGTCATTGTAATAGTTAAACTATTTTATAAATACAAATTTAAAAATGTGGCTAAATTAATTATCCGAATATTAGTTATTTCCGATATATACTATTTATTTCTAGAGATTGGGGATCACGATATCCTGCAGGATTGATAGACGCGATGAAAAATATTGGAGGTCTAATGAGGAAAAAGGATATATTACGCGAGAAATAACATTGATATAGTGTCTCCTTCGTTATACACATTCTACAAATTATTATTTCCTAAATTTACCGAGAATACCTCAATTGATCTAAGTTAATATTACGATTCAGAATATTCCGAAACGGAGTCTGAATCTAGCGATTCTAAGACCGAGTCTGAATTTAGTGATTCTGAAACTGAGTCTGCATTTAGTGATTCTAAGTCTAAATTTAGTGATTTTATTTCTGCATTAAGGTCCTCTAGGGACAATTCTTTGAATTATAGACTGGCATGATTATTCCTAATCATTTATCATGGGTTACAAATAATTATATTAATAGCAGAGAATGGGTAATTATTTACTGAGTTATTTTTTCGATTATAATATACATCATTAAATAGCTACTGTGTAGTTGCTTCCAGCAATATTTGACATGGTTTTCATAGAAACACTCGTAGAAGGAAAATCCCAGTTAAAGCATTAATCGACACAACATTTAAATCCAATGATATTAGCAAAAGCTTGTTCGATAAGCTTAAAGAAGATTATGGAATATGTGATCCTGTTGAGAATCTCTATGAATATGTAATAGGTGAAATAAAATGCTTAAATTTGCAATTTTGCTATAAAGGAAAGTGGCGGAGCTTAGATTTAACTGAAGTAATAGACTTTCAAATTCGCAAAAATCCATCGTTCGATCTAGTGTTAGGACAAGAATGGTTATGGATGCGTAAAGCAAAATAAGCTTTGAACGTTCTCCCAAAACCTATGTACGCCACGCTAAAATTATAATAGATGGTATGAGTATCCCATTAATCGAAGAAAACAGTAATAAAGACAGCTCTGGTAAAAATGACTCACGTAAGTCCGATTTATCGGAGAAAGAGGTCGCGAATATGATCAAGAAAATTCTCTCAGGTGCCCAAGATAATAAACACCAAAAGAATCATTTTGCAACATACCTCCTACACATCCACCATCCAGAAGATTAAATGACGGTAATTTTTTTGCATCCAGAAGTTATACATATGAAACGCCCCATTATAAAGCGTAAAGTAAAAGGTAAAGTTAAACATCGAGATTTATAGGGCCTTGCCCATGTTTCGCATAATGGAGCTATATCTCTGACACAAATCTCATCACGTTATAGGGCAAAAGCCTTAGGTGAGTGATATCATGTGTTTTAAATCCGCGAATCAGAGAAGTTCATAGAATATATTTACACAAAAATCTTTATTTAACCAGTAATCATCTGATATATATTTGCATTTTAAACCTGTAAGTATCAAATTATACCCCATCTGGAAGAGGATCCTCGGCCTTTAAACCCCATCGTGCTCGTCTCAAGTCTAAAGAAAAAAAAATAATCGATTTTATTGGACAAAGTCCATGCACACTGCATTAATATCATTTTTATCTCAGGTATAAGTCAACATCGTGTAGTGAAATATCGGTGGATGACGGTGGAACTCGAATCTGATTGGCTTTCAGTTTGTTGAGTCTAACCTGGTGATTTAATCCATGAACATCATTTAGGTCTTGCTGAGGAATCATAGAAACAAGTGTCCCACATGCATCTCCATCCTTTCGATCTTTGTAAATCTCTGTAAATTATGCAAATGGTGGAAGAACGTACTATGAACAAAATAAAGAAAATGCCACGACTTATCCTGGACGAAGTGGAACGATAATCTGGAGTAGTGGAAAGCAAAGTTCACCCCCCTTGCAAATCAATAAAAATGACGAAGGATAAGTATACGCATCCAAAATTCCATATGCGAAATGATGATTGATTGTCAAAAAAATATACATATTCGAATATTATTTTATTGATAAAAGGGCGGGAGACATTACACGCAAAAAATAAATGCAAATAAAAAATGTGAATATATATGCTAATCGCACGTCACACAGTTCCTATTCTTCGGTAAGAATCTTCCCGACATCGTACTGCGCATTTCAGGGGATTGATCTCATAACGAATCCGACAACACTATGTCCCCTTCATCATATCCACAATTCTAAATTACGTTCATTCTCGGAATCTTCAAACTGAGATCTCCGGCTGAGAAATCTATTGCAATAATTCGATTCCCAGAGGAATCCCAACATTGCCCTGTGTTGGAATGGAATCATACTGTCGCTGGGAAATAGATAGGCTTTAGCCTGGGATACATGTTAACGTTTCTATGTTACTAATTGCAATCGAAGCCTTGGTCAAAACATCTGAAATCATGTTTTGCAGGAATGCAGTTATTGCAAATTGATTTTTATTATTATTCAAAGCTATATTATTATCTTAAACGCGCTTGTTAGGTTGCGTAAAAATCGAAAAGAAATTTAAGAAAGCCTAAAACTAAAATACTAAAATAAGTAGCTAATAATAATCTTCCCATTTCGTAATATACTCATATACAGTTCCATTCTCTTCAAACCATCTCAACTGATCTACCCCTTTAACTAAGCGTTTCGATGCTTCTTCAGGAGAATTACCAAGTGGCCATAACATTTGACTCTCATTTTCCCACAAAAAAACACGACCATAACAGTCTAAAAAGATCATTCCATAATCGGTCTCCCCGATAATAATTATATGATCAAAGCCAAAATCAGCAACACATCTTATATGATAAATTAGTTCTTTAGGATCACTATCAAGAACTTCATAATCAACCAAGGTTGCAATACGAGAATTATCTTTAAATGCATCAACTAATATGAGCGAATCGTTGCATTGCGACGTTCTTCCATTTTTTCCTTCACATAATTGCACTTGAGACATGATTATAGGATTTTCGGTAATTGATTTTCCTTTACTGGTAAAGCGAGAGTCCGCGTGTACAAGACGACACGTTTTCCGGGGGACAATCTTTTTCCAACCATCGCCTCCCAGGGAACCGACTCTGAGCAGTTTCCCAAAGGATACCTGCATTTTTCCAATTGTTTCAGTGCTAGGACATCCTTCACGTTCTTTGTCCAACCTAATATCTGTATTTTCTCCATCCTTGTATTTACTACCTCCGTTATCACTGATGGCTGACAAAGAATCGACGAACCCATTATTAATTTCACATCTTTGCCTTTCCGTTTTGACACTGGATTTGAGTATGTGTGGTTCATTGTTGTCGGACGCAATTTTGGATCTGGCTGTATTATCATTATACTCTGTGCCAAGCGTTCTTGACTCTCGTATAGATATTTGATTTGCTCCTGTACTGTCATCTTCTTTGAGGGCCGATGTGCGTAACTCCAAAGGAGACTCCAAGCATCGTAAAACGTAATGATTGGTATCGGTTGAAACTTGTCTAGGAATACTGT